AGCTAAATGGATGCATATTGAGGCCTTACTCTTAAGTGAAATAAATAGGACACACATGTGTAAATTCCGAATAGTATCTCTAGTGTGAGAAACTGAAAGTGTAAATAAGGATGAAAATGATTAAAACAAATAATTGATAATGTGAAATAGGAAAAGGTCCAAAGGTGGAGGGATGGCGGGAGGGGAAGGGGAAAGGGAAGAAAGGAAAGAAAAATTATGAGGAAAAAAAAAATGGAAAGAAAATCTATGTAAATAGGGAAGGGTGGTGGGGGTGAAGGGTGCATAGGTAATGGGGAAAAAAATAAGAACTAAGATACATCATGTTCAGGTACAAACACCCAATGATAAATGTAAATGTACTGTATACCTAAAACATACCAATTAATATATAAATTTTTAAAAAGTAAATAAAAATAAAGTTTCTCTTTATAAAAAAAACCAAATCAAGTCCAACAACATTCTATCATAAGGATGAAAATTGCAAGAAATATTGTTTAAGTATTGTGTATGTGTTTATTCCTATATATATGAACATGTAATATACATATATACATTATCTTATATAGGAAAATAGGAAAGGGAAGATAACTAAATTTCAAGCTTCCAGTCAATTAAGGTCAATGCGTGAACTATCTAATATTTACTATCACATTATACAAACACAGAAAAATTTTTTAAATAGTCTTAAAATTCAGATTAATCTCATAGGTTCCAAAACAAGTACTTATTCAGAATAAACAACACCCAGACAGTGGAAAATATCCCATGCTTTTGTTTTTTTTAAATCAGTGAAGTTCATTTGAAACCTATTAAAAAATCCTACCTAGAACAAGTTAATACCAGGCTTTTAAAACTAGGTTAAACATGCTGTAAATAAATTTACCCCCCCTACAAATCTGCTAAAGTCCATCATTTCTTGTGAAAATTACTCAACGGTACTTAATATGTCATTACATTGTTTCTTCAATCAACTTGCCACAAGTTTTCCTACTTAAGATTGTTATATTAAGTTAAACACTTGCTTTTATCATAAATAATAAACAATGGAATACAGATTCTTTAAAATGGCATAAGGAATCTCAAACTGTATCATACTGTATATGTAATATATTTCCTAAGTTCTGAAGAAATGTCTAAATTATTCATCTGCAATCCAAGTTTGCCACCAAATAATACATTTCTGCCATTATAGAGGTAAGAAACAACCTGCACGATCACCTCTCTCAGGGACAGATGACTCACCTTGCACTAACAGGAATCAGGTGGCATCTCTGGAAGGCTGATTTTGATAAAAACCTGAAATGAGTATTATGCAGCAACAGAATTTGTCTCATCTATTTTAAGGAGCACAGGTGACTAATCTAGCAGGACAGTATAGCTTGCATTGCAGAAAAGAAGACTGCAATTAGTGATTCATTAATTACCTATATCATTGAAACTCTTGCAGGTAGGCAAACTGGCCAACACAAACTTCAATCTTATTCCCATTTTAAAAAATCACACACAGAATAAGAGATTATTCAAGCGTCCAAAGCTGTGAACAACTGCCAAAGAAAGAGATTTTGCAGTTTGAGGAAAGAGGTCGGGGTCATGTGGCTTTTAGAGAATGAAAGCAGAATATGTTGCCTCAATGCAGCCCCACAATCTAGCCTAGTGTTCCAATATTGAATTTTGACTTACAGATGTTACTGCACTAAGTATCCTTATTGTTATCTTTGTAACAAATTTTATGTAAACAAAGAACAAAGAAAGAATAATTCAGGGAGGAAAGTGGGGGGAAATGATCAAGTGTTCTCAAGGGGAAGACATCCTGAGCCTGGCTCTGTCACCAAGATTGTCACGTCACCTAAGTAGGCCTCAGTGTTCCTTAAAATTAAAGGGTTTGACAAAAGCCTCAATCTCTACTTCCCTTTCAGCAGTAAAAGCCTGCCATCTATTTAGGTATCACAGACAACTCAAGTTTTTGTAAAATGCTAAGAGCACCTGACGACAGCAGAAAATGCGCTTACAATGTTTAATGACTATAAAGGGAAGAATGAGAAGGGTCTAAACAATCCTCCTAATTTTGCATTTTTCATTTTATAATAGACTTAAGAGAGCAATTGCAACTAGATGCTTCATTTCATCCCACAATAACAACATAATTCTTATTACAATACAAAAAATTAATATCTTTTTAAAACATTCAAAAATAGCTTCACCTTAGTGAAATAAAGCTTAGATCTGACTCATTTGGAGGGCTGCAATATCTGAGCTACAGTATGAGTATCAGGATATGGAAGCAGCTGTCACTGCTTTGTTTTTTCATTCACAGTAGGTGGTTGCCAGGCAACAAAATAGTATTGTCTGTTTCCATGATCTATTGGCCAATTCTACTGGTGATAATGCTTTCTACAGTTTAAAATAGGGCCACCTTTTGGACAAGAAGAAATGAACAAAAATTCTAAGGATGACAATAACATATATATTAATACAGTGAGTGTACCCTAAAATTATAAGCATATATAACTGTTGACATAAATTCATATATTTTACATAGATGCATGTGTATATGTGTGATTATATACATTCTTCTTCTATCTTTGCAAACCCATCTAAATTTAGTAGGCCTGCAACTGGAATCTAAATCCCTGACAGCAAATCAAAGAAAGAACTAGGGAAATGAAAACATAGTAAGAATTATTTGCTCAACAATAGCAATAACTTTCAGTTTTTCAAATGTATCAAATCCCATTTGAATATGAAGTCCTTCACTCAGAAAAACAACTCATAAAAATAAAAGGAAAGCTTTAACAACTACTTTGGAATCATCTAACATTAAATGTTATTTTACTTAATATATGCTATTAAAGCATACATAGATAATTCAAATAATGTTGCTGTTTTCACTTAAGAATCCTAAATTTTACTTATCTTAAAAATAATTGAATTGTTCTCCCTAGAATAGCCTCATGTGATTCTCCACTTTATTTTGATATGAGTCCCTGGGGGATACACCCATGCTATATTACTCTTGCATATTTCACTAGCTTACAAATAAAATAACACACAGTGTACTCAATGTAAGTTGTCAACATTAACTTGTATCCTTGCTGTTTGTTTTGCATTGACAAGGCTTCTAAAGATAAGAATTACAATATTCTTAGATGTACAGACCAACATCAAAACACCCAGAAGGAACTAAAGCTTGAAAATGCTAGAGGCAATAACTGTTTAAAATAACAAAAATCAGTACCATTAATGTATATTTCTGCAAAGGCCCTAAATAATGCCAGAACAAACTTTGGATTTTACGTAATGCTCATCTGCCTTCTCTCACAACATTTCAAAAGCACTTTAACTTAACTATTTAATGCAACCCCCTAGAGAGGCCTTTCACTTTGTGAAATTCATTACCATTTGAAAATTTGAAAATCTGTATATTACAAGAAACTGGAATAATCAATATCCATTACATGGATAGATGTTATTACTATAAAGTTGCCTACCAAAAGTGCAATGCTAGCAAAACAAAAGCAAAGCGTGGTAATGAACAAAGTACTGGTCAAAATGACCACTTTTTCAGACACAGCCCTCCATTTCTCCTTCACATCTCACCCTACAAATGGCCCATATCCTTCCTCAGCTTCTTAAGGTCTGTCACTTGTGTATCTCCTGCAGGAATTACTTTCCTTTCCCCTTTCTCCACTCTCTTCAGATCCCTTGAGCACCCTCCATTACTTTCGCCAAACTACCAGAACCCCTCAAATCTGCAGCCTGGTTTTTCATGAACCTCTTCATGTGAGCTTATTTCTCTTATTCTCTTAGTTCTGCTTTTAAAAATCACTACCACAGATGTGCTCGCTTCAGCAGCACAAATACTAAAAATCACTACCACAGAAGAATATAATTCTCATTTTAAAATAGTTACAAGCTGGTTTTTACAAATGTTATAGCAGTGAAGACTAAGGATGAGAGCAAAGAGAAGAGCAGAAGTGTATTTCAAGGGAAAGAGGGTGTCCAAGCTGCTACACACAGTGGAACGAGGGTTCCCTACAGACCTGAGTTTCCCCACCTGTCGACCCCACTTCCCCCATGTGCGCGCCACTGGATGACAACCACAACACTCCAGAACCACCCCTCTCCAGAAGGAGGAGGGGTTACACCTTCAGCCAATCAGGACCCACGATCCCCGGGTGTCCAACCTATGGGGTGGCCGTGGCCTGCAAGGGGGGGGACGTGGGGTGGTCCGGGAGGGGCCGCGTCCGTGGGAGGCGCGCACGTGTCCAGAGAGGCGGGGAACCCGCGGGCATTCAGCTGCTAAGGCGCGGGCTCTGTACCCTGGCAGCCGCCGACTCCAGCTGACCAGTACCTCCTTTGGCTCAGACTGGGCCAGGCCGGATGCGCTCCCGCCGAGGAAGACCTGTCCAAGGTGTCTAGGTCCCCAAGAGAGGGGACAGTCACATATAACAATAGTAGTACCAGAGCAGAACAGTCAGGGAGGAAAGTTTCCGGTCCGCACCAAAGCGGAGTTCCCCAAGGCAAGGAGGAGATGGGATGCTGGGCGGAAGGGTGACAATGTGAAAGAAGAGGGCGGCGGGAGGGCAGCGCCAGCGGGACAGGATCCCTGGGCGGGGCCGGGGGCCGGGGGCCGCTAGCGGCGGGGCGCGCTGTCCAAGGTGCAGGGGAGGTGGCTGGCGGGCAGCGGGCGCCGGGCGCCGCTCCCGGAGCTGAAGCTGGCTGGCGGGCGGAGAACAGCGGTTTGGGGCGCCGGGCACCCCCGGCTCGTAAAAGTGAAGCAGCTTGAGTTGGGGTTCGGTGGGGAAGGGTGCGTGGACTCCACCGAAGCCCCCACGCTCCCACGCACCGCTCTCACCCAGCCTCACCTCAGCTCCACTCCCCTCCCCCCTCGCCCACTCCCCTCTAGCAGTGGTCCCGGGTCCCCGGCAGTGTCGGAATCAGGCAACCCCGGCTGGGAGCCCAGACGCCCCTGGGATGCTGTGAGCCACGGAGCCGTTTACCTGGGGCCGCAACACGAGGAGCGGAGGCGCCCGCCGAGCAGAGCCGGACGCCGGGCGCGGCGCGGCTCCTCCTAGCCTCGGCGTCCTCCTCCTTCGCTTCTCTCGGACTCTGTCCCGGGCTCGAAGCTGCCAGACAGGGGCCGGGCTGCAGCCGCCGTTCCTCCGCCACGGCCGCTGTCGCCGCCGCAGAGGACGCTCCGTGGCGGCTGGAAGCCTGTGTGAGTAGCGGCGCCCAGGAGAGTGGATCTGCTTAGGAGCGCTGGAGACTCCGCGGCTCGGGGCGCCCGGTCGTGCGCACGCGCGCCAGCCAGTGTAAGTGTGTGTGCGCGCGCGCGCGCCCACGGGGTGGGGGAGTCGCGAGGGGAGGGGGAGAGAGCTGAGAGATGCTTGTAGGGACCGAGGCAAAATTCTTCGCCCCTGGAAATCCGTAAAGCCGGGAAAGGAGGCTCAAAAGCCCGTCTCTCCTGGAGAAGCTGCCCGCCGGGTGGCGACAGACTAGAAGGCAGCGCGGCGCGCTCCGGCTCCGGGTCCAAACCTGGGTGAGCCGAACGGACTGCGCAGCCACCGATGCGGCAGAAAGGGCGCCCGCCGCTCGCCTTGGCGCTGTCTCCTCTAGGAAGGGGCTGAGGCCACTCACTGGCTTCCTCCACCGCTGCCGTCCGTCCGGACTTCTTCTCTGGGCCATGAGGGGCGTAGATGGAAGACCCCCACGGTTGCTATGGCGACCTTGGAGGCGCCAGGCAGGCTGAGGGGCTGAGCCAGGAACCTGGGCGCACGTGGCCGACTCCGTGCGCCCGACTGCAGGCTGGAGGCGGCAGGTGCAAGGGCTGCGGGGGGAGCCTGGCCAAGCGCAACCTACAGTCTGGCCTGGGTGGAAGGTGCGGGTTGGGCTGCCGAGGGTAGCTTGGCCTTGGTCATGATCACTCTAGGTGAAATATTGCCTCCCCGCCCTGCTTGGAGGCCGCTTTTCTCAGTTATCCACTTTTCATATAAAAGTACCAGCTTCCTCTTTGTTAGTATTCTGTTAATTGTGCAGTTATCTAAGCAGTGCTTCTTTCGAATCAGATGAGTCCAAGAACCCCCTGCCCCCTCCTTCATTCAAACCACATTGTAATACCTTAGAAATAATTTTTAAAGCACATTTACATGTCTTGCTTTCTAAAAGATATATTGCCCTACTGATGTAATTTCCCTTTTGTATTTTTAATTGTAAGTGTTCACCCAAGAATTTCTTAGGGGTCATAAGATCTGGGTAATACTTAGAATGCCCCTCCTGGCACCATCCTCTTGGCAGGGATTGTGCTTTGCACACTTTTGCATCCCCTCCAGTACTTAGCACATTATCACGAATTTTGTGTGTTCTCTTTTAATATTGAATGAATGACATTGTTTTCTAGCGTCACATATCCCGAAGGCAAAAACTTGGATCCTGGGAAAATCATTACCATCTCACTAGGCTTGCTAGATTTTAACTTGTGCTGTTTCCTCTGGCAGCCAGAGCCCCATTGCAAAGAAAGAAAATAGAGTACTGACCCATTGAGCAACCTTACCAAAGATGCAGGCATTTGGGGGTAGGGGGTAGATATGCTGGGTGGAAGAAAGCTAAAGTCTGCTTTATTTTGGTCCTGGCGGAACCTAATCTCTCAAAAAGTGAAAGTCACCATTCATTAGTAGTTTACAGTCTCTTCTAGAGCAGGGAACAGGAATACAGTTTTTAGAGAAATGCACATTTCTTATAGCTTGTCAGATACAAGTTTTTCTCTTAATAAAGAGCAGTACTTCATAGACACTGGCCAATACAGGCAGGATCACCTCAGCTGCTAATTCTGCTGTAGCATCAAGCTAAAATCTTTCAACTTTTCTATTTCTGCAATCATCTTAGAAACAGAAGCCCTCAATCTCACATTCTATGCTCAGTTTCAATTCCTTTGAACTCAGACTCTTCTGTGAGCTGCTTCTCTCACCACTCATGATATCACAGCTGTGAAATATAACTGAAATAAAGTGAAAATTAATATGGATTTATTTGGGTGCTGCCGAATAAATCCATTTCATGTTCTTTGGTAGGGGTCCCTTTAACTAACTTCTATACTGTCACTCAGTTTAACATCTTAGAAGACATTTGTTATGATAGTGGAATTTTATGCTTTTTTGTTATGTTGAAAGCTTAGATATTTCAAATTTTTACTTGAAAGAAAACTCTAAAACTTGGAGAAGAAACAAAATTGGTGCCCTTGATAGCCAACCTATAAAATGGGTATGAGTCAAAATTTCCAAAAATAATCTTTAAGTTTTGTTTTCCTTATAAAGGTGTTATTTGGTTTCAACAGCTTCCCAAGTGCTTGTATTATTTGAGTGACTGGAAGAATGTTAACCAAGCTGTAACGTCTCTGCTGACCACCAAAGGGAGCAGTCTTCCCTTTATAAAAACAATTTATAACAAGCCAGGATTTTAAAATAAGATTGTAAGGACATGACAATTTTAATATATATCAATTTTAGGGCCAGGGGTCTAGGTCAGTGGCATTGTGCCTGCCTTGCAAGTGCAGGATCCTGAGTTTCATCCCCAGTAGAGGGGTGGGGGGAATATATATCAATTTAAAAGAAAACAATGGAAAAACAAAAATAACATAAGATATATGGTATTTCTGACCTACTTAATGATAAAAGTTTAAGTGGAGGAAATAGGATTAAAATATTATCAAGCTATAGATTCTCATGCTACTTAAATAATAGATAATAAATGTATAGCTGAGAGACTGTTTTATATGTAATTATCAGTTGGACTGAGAATCAATAGCATATTTCTAAAGATCCCATTTTTTTCCTAAAAAGGGCATGTTTCTTAATGTAACTTTTTTTTTAATTTGCAACAGTGCAATATGCCATTCAATTATTAACTTCCTTAACACAAGATTATGAAGGGGTGGAGTGTGTAGAGAAACACTTTTAAGCTGACTTGATCATATTTAACTAAGCTATTCTGTTAGTCTAAAAAAAAAAAAAGCTTTCCACCTCTGAAGACCAGTAAATTTAGGTTGTGAGATGTCCCGTGAATTCCAAAGTCAACTCCTCATGCTGGGAACAGATTCCCCCAAATTCTTTGAAGTGAGAAGGCAGGAACCATTAGCTGAAGTGCTGCTATAGATTTTAGAGGCTGTGAGCATGTATAAGGATACAGATAATTTCCCCTATAATTAGGTCTCAGGTCACTTAGTCCATTAGAGTTTTAAATGATAAGAAATACATTGACCTGCACCTGGACTCAAAGTGCCAACCTGCCAACCTGGTACGTAGTGCAACTTGGAACAAGAAGCAGCCCCAAGTCATCCTGTCTGCATTCATTTTCTGATACATTGCCTCATTCCAGATACCCCTGGCAACAACTTAGTTTTGACCAGTTCTCAGACATCTTTAGAAAAGTCAAAAATCAGAATTATACTTTATTCTAAATAAAAATAGACAAGCTTTTTTTCTCAGACATCAGTACGGACATTTGGGGTGCAGGTGGATATATTACTTTATGGAGTTATAGATTTCCTGGGAGCTAAGAAAGCTATGGAGCTTTTGTGCAGGAAAATGAACATATGAATCTACAAAAAGAATTTGAGCAAAATTTCAGGGAGTTTTCGAAAGATTCTCTGGAGCTCAGGTTAAGAACCCTGTCTAATATAGGCTTTTTGTACAGGATAAAGGAAAACAAATTGGAGGATTTACTAATGTCCTCACTGTTTTTAACCTAATAATTTGTCCACACAAAGAAGATGTAAAAGCAAATCAGGAAAACAAGTATTTACTGAGTACCTACTTCAAAATTAGTTCTGCTCTTCATGTTGAGTTTGTTACCAACAAAGTATAAAATACAACCTACCTCTGCCTTTAAGGTGCCTACAATTTAGAGTCCAGTATTCTTTTTTTTTTTCTTCAGGGATTGAACTCAGGACCTTGTGCTTGCAAGGCAGGCATGGTGCCACTGAGCTAAATCCCTGGCCCTAGCTACCATTATTCTTGAGAGCAAAATAAATGAATGTATATGAAATTTATCACTTGACCAGGTGCAGCAAGCTTCAATTTGAATTACTAATAAGAATAAAGTCCAGTACTCAGGAGGCAGAGGCAGGAGGATTGTCATGAATTCGAGGACAGCCTGAATCCATAGTGAATTCAAGACCAACTGAACTACATAGTGGGACCCTGTCTCAAAAAAAAAAAAAAAAGTTAATAAAGTCATTTGTTAAATAAGTAAACCATTTGAGTTAGAATTGGTTAATAGCCAATGTATATATGCACATTTTTTTACACTCATATTCCCTAGGACCAATCTTTAGATTATCACATGATACATAATGTAAAAAGCTAGTCTTTTGCTATTGTCTAAATTTTAGATTGGGGAAATAAAGAATATCACAGAATGAACCAGGTAGGTCTGGGGTTGTAGCTCAGTGGTGCTGCGCCTGCCTGGCAAATCCAAGATCCTGAGTTTGATCCCCTGTACCGGGAAAAAAAAAAAGAATGAACCATGTTGGCCATGGCAGCTATGGACTGCCTATCACTGGGGATCTCTAGTGGAATGGAATAGATTAGAGCAGTGATGGCAAACCTTTTAGAGGTGAGTGCCCAAATTGCAACCCAGAACCCACTTATGTCACAAAGGGCCAATACTGCAATTAAACCTGAATATTGAGGTTTTAGTTTAGAAAAAAAGTTCATACAATAACATCTTTTGTCTTAAAAGAAAAACAAATAACACATGTGCCACAGGTTCTTCACCACTGAATTAGTGTGCACCAGCTCATATTCAGCCCATCAAGGAATTTGAAGGGCCACCCATATATTTTGAAATTTCTATCTACAAAACTCAGAAGTCTATTGTTGGATAATTTCACATAGCATTTTGTTATTACTCTTTTTAAGGTTTTTAATTTTTTCTTTCTCAGTTTCACTTATTGATACAGAAATATTTCTCAATATGAATTTTAAAAATATAACTCTTTCACTCAATTCATGATAAAAGTAGAAAAAGTAGAAAAACAACCCACAGAAACAAAATTTTCAGTGGTTGAAGTAGTGTTAGATGGAACTGCACTGTCCTGCCACTTATAGGATAGCATTGATAGAAAGCCAGTTATCTAAGTAGAGCTGTTAAAAAGCCCAACCATCATGTATTGAACACTTTACATAACCTGCCTCGCCATAGGGCTCAGAGGCTGCATGTTGAGAAGCAGAACTGTCAGTCACATGTTTTGACAATGGTGGTCTTGGTGTAACATGAAAATAGCACAGCACATTCCATCATAAGATCTGAGTTCA